AAAAAAAAGAAATTCCTGCACATAAAGGAAAAAAATTGATCAGAACCAAGAGATAATTCACATAATGGGAGAAAATGTTTGCCAGCTAATTAGTGGATGAAGGATTAATATCCAGAAATTACAATGAGCTAAAACAATTAAACAGCAAAACACCAAAGAATCCAATTAATAAATGCACAAGTGAATTGAACAAACAGTTCTCAGAAGAAATATTCATGGCTAATAAATAGATGAAGAAGTGTTCAGCATCACTATTGCTAAAGGAGATGCAAATTAAAACTACAGTGAGCTTGTATCTCACCCTAGTCAGAATGGCAGTCATCAAGAAAAGAAACAACAAGCTGGTGAGGATATGAAGGAAAAGAGACTACATACACAGTTGGTCAGAGCAGAATCTAGCGCAACCACTATGGAAGTCAATAGAGAAGTCTTGGAATGTCAGAATGTCAGAAGGAATGTAAATCAATATTCATGAGACATCCTTGTGTACCCATGTTTATTGCTCTCTGTTCACAGTAGCCAAGCTGTTGAATCAGCTGAGGTGCCAAATAACCAATGGATGGATAAAGAAAATATGGTATATACACCATAGAGTATTACTCAGCTGTGAAGAAAAATGAAATTCTGTCATTTGTAGGAAAATGGATGGAACTAGAGATTATCATGTTGAGCAAGATAAAGCAAGCTCAAAGAACCAAATACAATGTTTTGGCTCATTTATATAATCTAGACCTAAAAATAAATGATGATAGTAGCTGTAAGGACAATAATACTATCATAAATGAAGAAGGGCAACTATCGGGGGTATATGAGTGGCCAGGGAGGAAAAGGAAAAGAAAAGGAAAGAGAAGAAAAGAAAAAGATGCTGAAAAAGGTGAAGAGGATCAATGCATTGCCTACATTACATATATGCATGTATAATATATATAAACATACATAAATAATATATAAAATAAACCCTACATTGTAAAGGGACGAGGGATAAGAAGATTATGGGTATGCAATGAATGGATAGACTTGTTCAAGGAAGACTGAACCTTTTTGAGTTTCAGTTTTTGTGTCTAATAACACCCTTCTTATGTCATAAGGTAATGAAA